TTTACTTCATAGTAGTGTAATACTCACAACGGTTGTGTTAGCATTGCACGATGCGGCTAATGGGATTAACCAGATTAATCGTTTGTTTGCTTATTCCTATAAAGTCGGGGGTAGATGAGCTACTTGATTAGCGGTACATGGGAAAGCATACATATCGCTCATAGAGCTTCGATTGGCATCTACAGGCTGTAAATTTTGTTTTCCAATAATGGGAGTTCAGTTACTTATTGGGATGAGCCACTGAATTCGTCAATGAATAGATTCATACTCACCATTGGGTGGAGGCATTTGTCCTGGTAAAGGAGGACCTGAGTGAGAAGCTTGAATGATTTGAGCGGCAAGTTGTTGCGTCAAGTTGATGTAGTTCACGGGATTGTACCATTGTGGATTGTGAACTGGACCTGCATAGCAAGAAAATTCTCAACACGTTTTGTGGGAGGAGAAGACAATGTAAAAGTATTAGTAGTGGGTATGTTGGATAGATGCCCAATAATCTAGTGAAGGTGTCAACTCAAATATATTTGTCAAGTTTATGACCGAAAGACACTGGAATGAGGCGCTTGAACAACAGTGCTAAATCATAAGTACAAGAAATTGTGTCATGATGCCTAGAAAATCGTAATGCATATAGGTTAGGTAAAATCTTGCAGTTCGTAATATCATGTGGCAGATCTAGCAAAGTCTCTGAATCTATCAATATCTGAAAAATAGCGTAGTGCAAGCGTAAAACTTGGTAGTTCAAGCTTTCTGGCACCTTCTTTACAAGGATCTTAGTTATCGAACATAGACGATAATTAGTGTGCACAATACTATAGTTGGTGAATTAGGCTTAACAGTCTACATATACAAAGAGATATATGGTATAACTCTAAAGATCAAACTGTAAAACGCCAACACTTTTTCAGTTAACCTGTTGGGTAACTCAAGACTTTGATTTTTCCGTAGCTTATGGTCATTGACTGTAGTGCATAGACTGGCAGAACGTTTGAAAATAAGCAATAAGTTCACTACAGTCTTTCTAAAAGATTGTGGAGGGTGATACAAGGGGAAACAAAATTGGATTGAATCTAGGAAGTAAATGCGTTACGGCACCCACCATTCGCTGAGGAGGTAACGGGTGAAGTTTCAGTGTTTGTAAAAGTTGCAGATTCAGAAGAAGAGTAGCCACTGTGTGAGGGCAGCGGGGAATCATGCTCTTTGGCCACATCTTGCGCATCCTGCAATGTAGCATAAAAAGCTGGTCGTGCTGAAGACCTGCGAGCACAAACCTCTTTGGCTTGATGTAGGGCTGACGACTGTAAAAGCATATCTATCGAGAAGTTTTTGTCCACCATAGTGAAGAGAGAAAAATTTAGGGCTGCGGCTATTAGAGCCAAATAAAGGGGGCTTGTTGGTAGGGGAGAAGAAGCGTGTCAGCGAGCCGGGTCGAGTCCACTCCTCTTTGGTGGGGGCGCTCGTCATGGGGGCGATTCGTCTTCGAGGGGCGGATCGAGTACGGTAGCCCCGGCGCACTCTCATTCGCGCGTTTGTGCGCACGCAAATGAATTTGCACTACGGTGTGCGTGTTTGCGCCTGTTCGCGCCACTGCTTCGTCGTCGTGCATCGCGCAAAGCTGACGGAAACGCGAGGAAAAAAGCTACCATTAACAGATTTCGGACACGATGGGAGCATACACCGGTTTTGAGCCAGTAATCATGGGAAGTGGTTCAAATTCTCTCGGCACAAGGCGCAGTGCCTAGAGTATCACCTATCTCTCAGCAGAAGTTTGTAATAGAAAAGATATCATAGACTTCCTGTGATAATATCACGTCAGCTTTGCTGCAAAATAGTGTTATTATCTGTCTAGGAGACTCCGCTAGCAAAGATTTCTATCACACATTTCTCGTGCATGTTCCCAACTAGAGACACTTCTCTGAAAGAGCAGCGGCTAGGAAAACACTTCTTCGTTTTTTCCCCTCCAATTCTCGTTGATTGAGCTCGAACAAATGTGAATAACCAGTTTTTCATCGTTTGCGAATGTTAATCGCGTAAGCGATTTGTGTTTGCGCAGTCATGTTATCGCCGATCGAGCCTATCAATAATCTCAAGGGGGATTACGGTAGCATTCGATGGTTCTTCATTCAATCAAACACACAAATAGAGAGGAGCGAGCAAGCATCGCTGATCCACTACATAATCGCTATTTGATTGCGATTGTGATCGAAAGCATCGATGAGAGTCAGCAGTCGGTGGAAGGGCTAATTGGAGCTGTCTAGTAGAGCTTTGCTCCATTGAAGGGGAGTAATTTCAAAATCAAAATCA